CCGGTTGGTCAAAAAATATGCGGTTTGAGTCAAATCTTCAAAACATGCGAAAAAAGAGGTGTAACTTGCAATTACTTTTACCGCCATTTTTGCTCGGTTTTCACCAGTTATTAACCGACTCGGTTTTCCTATTCATGTTGGGTTGTGGTACTTTAGCCCGTTACAATAATCCGATGTATTGTTTCGTTTGCCGGAAGCATACGCTGTTTTTTCTTTCTTTTTTGATCTGTTGATGTTGATTGAGGCGCACAAAAAAATTTATCATACTAATATATATATATATATATATATATATATATATGTGAATTTGACACCGAAAAAAGATTGAAAAACATGAATGAAATTTCTCACAAACATGTTTATTTTTTGCAAGGAGCTTGTTCATCTCCTTGCAGCAAATAACACACATGATTATTGATGACTTATCTCTCGGCAAGTTAATAATAACTACAAAATTTTAGCTATACACCTCTTCATTTAGTTGCTTATTTACTTTTAACTAATAATCAAAAACCCAAAGGACGTTTGGAGGATATATATGCTGATTTTGTTTTATAACTGGATAATAGTGCGTGTTTGGATTACTTAATTATCCCAAATAATATTTCGCTTGCATCATAAACACATTTTTCAATCCATCTTTTTATATTCTCAATTACTTTTTATCTCACATACATCACATAATAAAAAATGCTACAGTAATTATTTCAAATAATACTCTGTTCAAACAAGTATATTTCAACATCAGAACATATGTTATGTTAAACTTTGTGTGTAAGATGGTGGAGGAAATGTGAACCATCCATCCAAATGAAATGAAACCAGAGCTAGTGAATTAAATTGCGAAATGTTCTTTGTTCAATTTAATATTTGTACACCACTGTACCAATAGTAATAGCAATTTAAATGAACCATTCTCATAATAGCAATGATATGGTTCCACTGCCGAGTCCAAAAACAAAAAATTTTCGTGCTCTTATTCCGTTTTTTTTTTTTTTTTTTTTTTGTGTGTCTCTAAAAGCCAATGACACTGCAAAATTCCGCATTCTATGCTATTTGTTTGTTAAAGTTGGAATAGGATGTAACTTCGATTTTACTCTGTCTGGAATTGATATCTAATCATTTTCCTCTTTAAAGTTTTTGAAAATTTTAGAAAAAAAAGGAAAGAGTTGCTAGTATGCAATTTTTGAACCATTGAAATTTTGATCCAATGATTAGGAAAGAATAATGCTTCTTTTCAAAGAATGTAACAGTACACTTGTCTGATCCGAAGGTTCCATGCCAACTCTATAAAATTCCAGTTGAGCTCCCCGCACCTGTAATATAGGCGTAGGTTGGACTCTGCCCTCCTCTCATAGCATCGGAGAGAGTGAGGGTAAAGAAATTAACCATGGCTCTTGAGTCGGTTCATGAGACAGAGAGAGAGTGAAGAAATAAAAGGAAGGTGAAATTGCGTCTTTCCAACGCCAGTTCGTACAATATGACTGGCCCACTTATCAGGCCTACTGGATGAATTATTTTTGGGCTAGTTTAGTCCACCCAATGTGAAGCCCAGTTAGTAAGGGGAGGACTTGTATCAATAAAGAAATGCAATTTTTTTTTTTGGGTACCAAAAGAAAAAAAGGAAAAAAAAAAAATCTTAGATTCTGGTCTTATTGGTGATTGGAATTTTTAAGTCAAGTTTTGCTGATAGAAATATTGTACAAAGCAAACGACCTCTTGGGTCTCTTTCTTTTCTTTGTAATCAAACCAAAAAACAAATAAATTAAAGCGTGACACTAGAGATCTTCCATGATTTGTTTTCCATTTCGTTTATGATCTCCTGTCTCTCTTTTTGTTGAAGGATTCCATTTCCTATGATGTGGTGAAGAATGATCATTAGTAATCATGTCCCCATCATAATTCCCTTGTGGAAAATAGGCCAGCTTCTTCCCATATGATTTCTTGAGCAGGGAAAATGCAGACTAGTTGCAAATCACTTATGATTACTCGACAAATCCCATACATTTTCTGTTGTTTACCCGAAAAAGAGGCAAAAGAAAAAAAAAGAAGAAAAGTCTACACAATCCTCTCATTTTTTTTTTGATTGTTGGCTGCTTAGTTGACTGCGCTACTAAGTACTGTTGTACTCGTGAATCTGTGGGAGTCCTCTCTCCATGGGCAAATTTTACGTACAACGAAGGTATACTCCACTAGTTATTGTTGCTTCAATCCGTCCACGAAAGTTCAGATATAAGTAGATACGCACGTACATGATATCGCATATTTATATAGATTTACTGCTTCTGCAGTAACAATTTAGGTGCTTTTCATACAGTTCATACTTCATATCTTACTTTTCATGACTATGTAAAGGTAGAAAACTTTTATTAATTTATTTTTTTTTGTGCGTAGGAGTAAAAAACTCGTACTCGCATGCGAAACACTTGTAGCAGGACTTGTGTATCCAATAATATAATATATTGGCTAACTGGACAAATCCATTTATAGAGATGGCTTTCTCTAGTTTTTCTTGACCTAATTGGACCGTTGCTAGTATATGTCAGAGTAGTTGTAATGTAGATATTGTCTGTTGATAAAAAAAAATAAAATATAAGAAAGATAAACAAAAAAAAAAAAAAATCCAACTTGGCCTGCATTTTCCATTACAACTAGGTACACCATGCAGAAGACTGCCAAGTGGATGATGGACACGGCTAGGGGTGTGCATTCGGTGCAAATTCGGTAATTCGGTGCACTGAATTCGGTGAATTCGGTTATTCTACCTGTAAAAATTTAAACCGTTTTCAATTCCGAATTGGGCATAACCGAATTCATTCCGCAACCGATTTCAAATTCGAAAACGGTAATGAATTCGGTTAACCGAATTCATCTATGATTTATAAATTATTACTGATTTGATCCCTAAATTTATTCATAATTGAACACATTACTTATGTTCTAATCATTTTGTGGTTTAATTGGCATTTATTTGATCACTTATACCTAGAATCCTTAGTCTATGATTTAAGAAACACATAAAAAGTGATTAATTTAAACTAGAATAAACCTTAGACTATACAATGATTGGTGATAATTTATGAATTTATAATTTACAATGATTAATTATAAGCAATATTAGTTAGTAGTTACAATGAATTTATAATTTACACTGATTAATAATAAGTAATATTAGTTACAAACTTACAAATTACAATGATTAGTGATAAGTTATATTAGTTACAAACTTATAATTTATTTCAAATCAGAATAAAAACTTATTTACTTACACATGTTAATGTGAAAGTCAATACACTAATACATTGATTTGCAATTCACATACATTCACTTACAGTCTTACACTGCTTAGTTGTCTTGTCTATACTTAAAGCCTTAAGATTAGTAAATAGATAATATGAATTTTAACTTATTTGATAACTTATGCCTAAAATCATTAGTCTATGATTTAAGGAACACATAAAAAGTGATTAATTTAAACTAGAATAAACCTTAGACTGTACAATGATTAGTGATGATTTTATGAATTTATAATTTACAATGATTAATAATAAGTAATATTAGTTACAAACTTACAAATTACAATGAGTAGTGATAAGTTATATTATTTACAAACTTATAATTTATTTCAAATCAAAATAAAACTTATTTACTTACATATATTATTGTGAAAGTCAATACACTAGTACATTGATTTGCAATTCATATGCATTCACTTACACTGCTAACTACTTAGTTGTCTTATCTATACTTAAAGTCTTAAGAATTAAAATTAGTGAATAGATAATATGAATTTTTATGTTAAATATGTAGAGTACACTAATACTTGCAAGTTAGAGATTACGCATTCAAATATTCAATAATTCAAACATGAATGATGTATCAAATTACCAATATCTAAATTTAATTACTAATTATGTTTATTGTTTAATATTTAGTATTATACATATATGTATTAATTATTATCTAATTCTAGTTATGTTACTCATGTATAAAATAATAAGTATTATAGTTATCTTATATTGTTATGTATTACTATATATTGGTATTATTATAGTCATATAACAATTAACAAATACTAAAATAATATATTGTACATTATTATATATTATTATTATTATAAGTACATGATATGATGATAAATTGATAATACCATATACTAATTATTATTAATAGCATTTACCTATATAATATAATAAAGTATTAGTAGTATATACTAATACTAATAGCATTTATCTATATATTATATAATTTTATATACCAATTTGGTAATTCGAATGCGGGAATGAGGTACCCGATTTCAATTACCGAATTTGAATGCGAAATCGGTTATTACCTAATTCATAATCTCATTACCTATTTCATACCATATTAGAATTCGGTGAATTTGGTACGTACCGAATTTGTACCAAATTACCAAATACCCGATTTCAAATTACCGAATTGAATTTGAAATCGGTTATGAATTCGGTAAGAACCGAATTTGCTCACCCCTAGACACGGCCCTTCATGTATCGATGGTAAAATTTAATGAAAGGACGGTTTTGTCAAAATTTAGCATGTGATTGTTGCTAGAATAGACATGTTTTGGGATAACAGTCTTGAACTTGGAAGTGTAGATGGTAGTTTGTTTGGTTTTGGGTTTTGCTTTTACATCTCTTGAAGAAATTCGTGTTGCAAAATTTAAAGGGCTAGCTAGCTTTAATGGTCTTGCGGGCTTCCTTTTTTTCTTTTCTTTTTTCAATGCTCATCTTTGATTGCCCTTCTTTTCTCCACCTGAGTCCTGCGAAAATTATCCGTGGAGTTTCATAGCAGGAAGATGTACTTGAACAATATCATGTCATATATCCTGATTCTTTGCGAAAAATTGAAGAAATTTATTTTTACATTCAACTTATCTAGAATTAGTAGGAAATCCATTGTGATAAAGGACTTACACAGTGTGACGAGGAGGAGCGGAGAAAAGAGAAAAAGGCAAAAAGACGACTGATGAGACCGAGGAAAGAGTCAATGATATTGGCACGATTCTATTGCAAAATTAAAAGCACCCAACAAAAACAAAAAAAAAGAAAGACCATCCAAGACATCATTTACCAGCATGCCACTTATCACATAACTGACACTTTATTATTATTATTTTTTTTTGAAAGGACAAAATTGACACTTTAGAAAACAAAACCAAGAACAGACTCTTTTTCATGTTTTTGGGCCCCCCAAGAACAGACTTGGGAAGCTCTTATTCTAGAAGCCATCTTATTATTGATGGAATTGTTGTGCATATATCGATCTCAATGTCATCATATCAATTAATCATGCCATAGACCAAGTAACTGGTACTCTTCCATCATCCTCGTTAAGCCCTAATGCTCTCCAGACAGCACTGGATCCATCAACGATGTTGTTATCGCAAGGTGGCTGGCCAGCGTGCTCCTTATCACAGCCATTTCTGGAGTCGCATTCATCCACAACCTTTGCAGTCACGGTTCTCCCATTGCTGGCTCTGATTCTTATCATTTTCCCACACCTCGACCCTCCTGCATACCAACCAGTGGAAAGTGCAACAACCCTTTCACTATTTTTGTGAAATTGGCCGTCACATTCTGATGCAGCCCCGCCGTCTCCACCTTCTTCAAAATTATTTAGGGTAAGAATGGCCGCTGTGGAGCTAGTAACCGGGGGAGAGCATGTATAGGTGGGTTTAGTCACTCCTTTACACGTCATAGAGCCAGTTGGGCGGCAATTGCCCGGAGGGGATGGCCCGGAAGGCGAGCTTCCGCTGCATATGTGGGTTCCAACGTCAGGATCGTCGTTACATTTTCCTCCAATGCAAATTAACTGGCCGTCGCAATCATTCAAGGTTTTGCATGGACCATTGCATGAGGAGATGGCTGATCCTGGGGAAGGAAAAGATAAGATGTTGAGCGAAATCAAGAAGGAAAGTATGACAAATTTTGCCATGGTTACTGAAGTGAAGGATGGGTAGGGGACAATGTAGATTCTCCTTATGCTAGGACGAGCTAAAAGAGATTGAAATGTTGGTGGGGTGGCGTTGGAATGAGAGGTTTTGGCGTATATTTATAGTGTGGATTCGTTATGGTCGCCATGAGAAGAATGAACGGCTGCTGAGTTTATCTTTGGCGCTGGGCTGCTGGCTGCTGCTTTTGTTGACCGACTAAACAGTGAGCATAGGGAGTGTCGTGTTTCCGCGGCTAATTCACGAATCCTTACACCGTGTAATGTCATCGTGAATATAAAGCCCTATCTACAACTTGTAGAGCTTCTGATATGTCCAAAAGACACGTGGATATAGTTTGAATCGAACTCAAATAGTGTATTATTTAAATTTGATTTGAGTTAGAATATTTGATCTTGAATTCAAAGTGAAGCTCAATTTAATTTTAGTTTACTTTAACTTGAGTTTGAACTTGATTGAATTTAAGCTAAATTTAACTCATTAAATTTAAGTGAAGTACATTAGCATGTTTTAGAATTTTAAATAACAAATACAATATTCAAGTTCGTAAATAACTCGATTGAATTCGGCTTCATCACATCACTAGTCATGAATGCACGTAAGTACAAGAGTTGCTGAGACACCATAGCCTCCAGTATACCATATGATCTAAAACTAGGGCTATAGATGATAGTCCGGGTTTACCTCCAAGTATTAGCCGTTCAACTAAGGTTACTGATATGTTGCGCCAATTAAATTTTAGGCTTTCTAGATGAAGTCAGCCTCCCTTCGGTCAACTTATGCTTGTGAATTGTGATTCATTGGACGGAATGCCTATGCCTGCACCTTTTCTAGAGTTCTCTTCCGTGGAAGACTAGCCTAAACAAATAGATGGTGGTCAGGTGGGATTTGCAACCAATCAAGGTTAATGCCAGGCTTTAAGGAAATGTGTAGGTTCAGAAGATCGCACCCCTTGTATTTGCAATGTGTTAAGTTCTTGTGAGAGGTTGAGACTTGAGAGTCGGCTGCCTAGTTAACTCACGAATGTGAGGGGTGTAGCTTATTATTCATGACACCAGATGTGGACAAGGCCAGGCCTAATGCATGCACAGGGAAAAAGGCATCAATATTGATAGGAATTTGGTATGGTTTTATCTCCTGTATATTGATGTGATGCACTATCGATCTAAGGTTAGTGAATTACGATTAGTATTTCCAATATATAAGCATAACAACATGACTAAATTTTTACACATTATGAAATTTTGATTATTTTTAAGTATGAATTTATAGTTTGAATTTTTGGGTGACTTTCATTATAGATCCTTGGATGGGTTCATCAAACAGAGAGTAAAGAATGAAAAGGAAGGTCTATTTGCCTTATTTCAACTAGGGCCGCAAACAAATCGGCTCGCGAGTGATTCGAGTCCGAATTCGGTTAACAATAAACTCGAGTTGAGATCGAGCTGACCAAGTCAAACTTGAATTCAAAAATATTAAACTCATTAGCTTGCGAGCCGGTTCGAACTCGATTATAAATATGTATATATATATATAATTTTTTTATTTTAATAGTAAAATTATATATATATCCTTAATATTTTATTATTTGTTAAGAAAAATTATTATTTTATTATTTTTTAAAAATAAAATTATTATTTTATTATTTTTTAAAAATAAAATAATTATATTTTTTATTTTTTTAAGCTCGAGCTCGAGATTCGAGTTTCGTAAAATTATATTGAAAGTTGAAACTTGACTCGATTAGGTTTAAATTCAACTCCGCTCGCTCGATTCCACTCCTAATTCCAACGCTAGTTCGTACAATATGACATGCCCATTTATTAGGCCTACTAAATGAAAATTTTTGGGCAAGCATAGTCCACCCAAGGTGAAACCCAGTTAGAAAGTGGAGGACTGGTATACATGTGTGTGTGCATGTGCGTGTAAATAAGAGGATTTGAATTCAGAATTTTTTACTTATAGTCCCTCTCCTAAATCACCCAATCCATCATTTCTCTCTAAAGAACTGGCATTAATAAAGAAACGCATTTTTTTACCAAAAAAAAAAGGAAAAAAATCTTAGATTCTGGTCTTATTAATGATTGGAATTTTTAAGACAAGCTTTGCTAATAGAAATAATGTACAAAGCAAATGATATTTGGATGGATGGAATCTCTGGTCTTAACAGTAATAAAACGACATCCTAGGTCGCTTTCTATTCTTTGTAATCAAACCAAAAAACAAATAAATTGAAGCGTAAAACTTGGGTTGTTCCATGATTTGTTTTCCATTTCATTTACCTTCTCTCTTTCTTTTTGTTGAAGGCATAGCTAAAAAAGCCAACCTGAACCTCAACTTAGAGATGTGACCGGTTCAATGAGTTTCTGGTTCAATTGAAGATTGGCCAGATCACCTATTAGTTATATTATATAATACAATAATATATTTTAAATTACAATAATAATATAATTTTTAAGTTAACAGTTCAATTGACGATTCAATCGACAATTTTTTCTGCTTGAACAGTTGAATCGTTGAGTTGTTGACTAGTTAACAAGTTAATTACTTGTTTGGTCTAACTTTAAACCAGCTAGGCTAGGTGGCTAATTCATGGGTTTGAATGATTGAACCGACAGGTCGGACCGAGTTTTATAACCACAGTTGGAAGATCCCATTTCGTATGTCTAGATGTGGTGATGAATGGTAAATAGTAATCATGCTCCTGGCATAATTCCCTGGTGGAAAATAGGCCAGCTTCTTACCATATGATTTCTTGAACAGTGAAGACGTAGTCTAGCTGCAAATCATTTATGAATACTTGACAAATCCGGTACTTTTTCTGTTGTTTACCCGAAAAAGGGGCAAAAGAAAAAATGAAAAGTCTGCACAGTCCTCTTTTTCCATGTTGGCTGCTTAGTTGACTATGCTACTGCTATACTACTCGTGACTTTGTGGGAGTCCTCTCTTCAATCCGTCTACGAAAGTTCAGTTATCAGTATTAAGTTGATATATACGTACATGATATCGCATATTTATATAGATTAGCTGCTTTTGCAGTTCAAATTTATTTACTCTACATGCAGTTCATACTTCATATTCCCAATCTAATCAATGTCTAAATGTTTAGTTACTTTTCATTACTAAGTGGGAGTACGAAACTTTTTTTTTCTTGGGCGTAGGAGTACAAAACTTAGCATGTATGCCTAAAGTTGATAACGATATCCTCATGCAGAACACTTGGAGTAGTGTATCCAATAAAATTGGCTAAGTAGGCAGATCCAAATAATTTATAGAGGTGGATTTTTCTGCTCTCCCTCCAATCTTTTTTGGCCCAGTTAAACAGTTACTAGTATAGATTAAAATAGTTGTAGGGTAGATATGTTATGTTGACAAAACATAAAATATTAAAAAAATAAAAAAAAAAAGACCAACTTGGCCTGCCTTTTCCGTTACAACTAGGCTGAAGACCACCTAGTGAATGATGGACATGGCCCTTCATGTATTGATGATAAAATTTAATGAAAGAACGGCTTAGTCAAAATTTGGCAATATTAAAGAAGCCTTTTATAGTGTTGCGTAAACTTGTTATAATAGGTGATGTAAGTTTGTAGATCATTGTGTTGTAATTTGGGTATGACTCTAATTTGAAGAATTCAATCTTTTTTTTTTTTTGATAGAGACTTCTTAATTAAAAATTTAATTAAGAATCAGAAATAAGAAATATAAGTAAAAAAGAATTATCCACAACTTGTGATTCGTTCTATAATTCGAATTTATGCCACCAAAGAAAATTCCATTCTTATTTCCTATGATTCCGATAAACTACCTACTCATTTATGACAAATAACAAATAATTGTTGAACTCAGTGCTCTGTTTCATTTTGATTCAAAGGAACAAAAGCATAGAAGTGAAATAACTCACTATGTAAGAATGCTTTTTAAATGATTACGTAGTACGATTATGTCAAATAAACCCTTCTGGAATAAATATTTAGCGGCTTGTGAACTTTCAAGAGGTACTGTTGTATTCAATGTTAGTTCAATTACTTTTTTACCTGCAAATGCAATATAGGCATTGGGTTCGGTAATAATGATATTACCCAATATACCAAAACTGGCTGTTACTCCGCTAGTAGCAATAATGTATCACCCAACATACCAAAACTAGCTGTTACTCCGCCAGTAGTAGCAGGAGATGTAAGGATTGATACATAAAATAACTTTTTATTTAATTGATAATCATTTAACCATTCGGACTAGACTAATTGGTTCAATCGATTGAATTGAGAACCGGATAGTAGTCTGGTCCAACTTTACCTAAAATCAGCTTAGTAAAAGATTGGTCAAAGCCGATAAAAAATCAAATTTGACCGAAAACCGGAGACGCAATATGAACCGGATTTTCCATTTTTCCCAATTTTATGCTGACCTTTTTTTATTATCAAAATTTCCCCAATCCTCTTCAGAATCCAACCTAATTTCATATTGTTATTTAATTTTATCTATTAAATAAATAGTAGTAGTAACAAATCTAAACTCAAGAAAGGCCAAAGAAAAAAAAAAGAGCGACAAAAGATGGAGAATCAAAAAAGAGAGAGACAGAAAGAGAGAAAGATTTCAAAGGAATAAAAAAAGAAAGGAAGAACAAATGAATAGAGTAAGAAAACTATTTTGTTGCTTATTAGAAGAATAGAGGATAAAAATGTAGAAAATTGACGAAATGAAAAAAGAGGAGAAAGACCAGCGAAGTAGAGAAGATGGCTGAAGACATTGATGGCTACGAGAATGAAACATGACTGGGAATGTGGGTTAAGATGAGGAAATAAAAGACATAATTTTACATTCAAGTCCAAACTTTTCTAGTATTTTATATTGACCCTTGAATGTTTTAAACATCCACAAGTGCTCTCATGAACTCTTTATCATTTCAATATGCAACCTTAATTGTCATATTCTTCAAATATGTCTTGAAAATTTAGTTTTAGAATAACCAACTTCTGTTGGAAATTTTAACAATATCTAATTGATGTTAATTTAAGTGGGTTTTGAATTTTATGATGGATTTAAAAAAAAAGACAAAAGGAAT